GGTTTCACGATGTGCAGACAGTTTGCAGGTTGTCGTTCCTTGCTACAGCTGGGGTGAGGCAGTTCTGACAAAATCAAATATGATATTTTTGATCTAATACTTTGTTATTTGGCCAAACAGAGAGATGCATTTAATGTTCATTTGACCAAGGCAGAAGAGCTTAAAAACTCTGTATAACAAATACAAGATCAGGAAAACACACTTACACTTACCATGACTAGCTCTGAAATGATTATCAATTTTTCAACAATTTTAATAACTGTTCAAGCTTGTGAGTATGTGTGTGAGGAATTTCTCTGTTTTCTAAATTAAATCTTCTGTGTCTTTGTCGCCATTTTCTAACAATTTGTGGACAAAACAATTAATAAGATAACTGAAAAATAACAGACTGGTTCATCAATAATGAAAACCCCTGATCACGATGTTCGGATAAAATAAAAGATGATCTCAATCTAGTCTTGTGTTACAACACTGATATAAAACTAATACCCAGCTCTAACTACAACTGATCACTTGGGATCACTGAAGAGCTCTTCTGATGTTGCTGAAGCTAACGAGCTGGTGAGGTCACACACAGGAGCATAACAACCAGCAAAGAAAAAAAAGATACATCCAAAACCATGAATATTTCATTGATATGTGTGGATTTTTTCCAGTTATTACTCTGACACAAATCTAACATGGTTAAACTTCTAATACTAGCTGTTGTGTGTGAGCTAGCTGCTGTGCAACGCCTTGCTTTCACAATGATACTGTAGTGTGAATCTGCCAGTATGATAACAAAGCCCTTTATTATCACTACTATGCCCTATGTAAGAAGACAGTAGCATTTATTATTAATACTGCTGTGAAAAGACTAAAGGAGATGGTTTCCCAGCATCCACTAATAAAGCCATGGGGCCATTATGAAAGCAGCAAATGCTATGACAAAAGTTTTGCTGAAACAGGAATAGGTCCACAGTGAGTACAGCCTGCATAAGAGGTCTCACAGAGTGCTCATTAGTGCTACTTGGTCAACACATGAAGTATTAAAAGTGCAATGGCTGTGCACCCTATCAATCCTCTGCAGCAGTGATGTGGCAGCTGCCTCTCTTTCGACTAATGACTCATCCACTCCTGCATTCAGCGAGCCCCGTGAGAATTTTGAAAGATTTTTGAAGACCTTCCACTTTCAAGATCTCATGGATATTTGAGAATATACCCAGGCAATCATTAGCATCAGAATAGCATAATTTTCACCCCGACCACAGCCAAACATATCTGTTCGAGAGACAGGAGTGACCACGGGCTCGTGTGGCGTGGTCTGGACTAAAAAACAAAACAGCTCATTTGTAAGCTGTGTAGTCCGAGACGCCAATCAGAGCTTTGGTGTAACCTGCTGAACACAACCATCAATCAGCAGCGCTCATGCAGCTGCAAGCTCTCCGTCCTACTAATGGACACGGCTAAAATGGGACTAAGTATGTACATAGCACACATTAAAAATAACAATCCATTGTCGTGAAACCAGATTCTTCTGGAAAAAAACGTGACTAGTGCTGAGTGAACAGGATCAGGATGTTCCAGGGGATCCCCAGAAAAATCAGGATTAGTTCCATTACACTCACTCAAGCACAGCACAGCGAGCATGTTTTACCATGACTATGTTCCCCTCATATTTCACACTACCCATTACAAGTCCATCAAAGTTAAAGGGACAGTTCACCCTATAATCAAAATATCATATTTTCTCTCTTACCTGTAGGGCTGTTTATCCACCTAAATTGTTTGGTGTGAGTTCCTGACTGTTGACGATATCAGCCGTAGAGATCTCTGCCTTCCCTGGACTATAATGGAACTAGATGGCACTCAGCTTGTGGTGCTCAAAGCGCCAAAGAAATACATTTGAAAAACTCAACAGCAATGTCTCTTTCCAGAAGTCATGACAAGTTTCTCAAGATAATCCACAGATCTTGTTATGAACAGTTTTATGTGGGAACTATTTTCTTTCTACCGCAGTACACCCACCAACTGTATCACCGTGCAGAAGAAAGCGTGCTGGTTTCAATATCGACCTTGGTTTGAAAATTGAAATTATCATACTGTGCATATTGCTTATCTACAGTATTTTAAAAAATGGCTTCAAGTTTCAATTACAGTAATAAAACGTTTGTTTAATTGAAAAAAGCCCTCTGTTTTCATTCCTTTAAGGGTCATTGTAACTGATAGAAATAATAACTCAGTAATACCATGGCACCACGATATGTTCTGAGATGGTTATCGCACCACAACCTTAATCTACCACTAGCTCACCGAGCGCCACTGAGCTAGCCAATGTTACCTCTCAACTGAAGAGGACGCCATTACTGTTTACATCTCGTGCTGTCACAAGCACAGGCCTATTGTTCAAAAGTTGATGCACGCTTGCTTCTAAGCGTTGATAAGGCTAGTGGGTGTAGTTCAAACATGAAACTGCTCACAACAAGGTCAGTGGTTTACTTTAAGTAACTGGGTCATGATTTACAGAAAGAGACATTGCTGGGTTTTTTTGGGCACTTTGAGCACCACAAGCTGAGTGACATCTAGTTCCGCTATATTTGAGAGAAGGCAGACATCTCTACAGCTGGTATCTCCAACACTCGGCAACTCACACCGAAACAGTCGAGACCAGTGGTTCTCAAATGGTGTGCCACATTATTATTGCAATATTCAACTGGACCTATACAAAAAGTTAAGAATAAATGTTTAATTGACTGAGTCAGTAGCCCTTTTTAAACAGGAATTGTGCAAATTTGCAGGAAAGCCCAGTCAGTCTTTTTTCAGCATTGGCAGTATAAAAACAAAATTAGGGAGTGCAGCAAAATGCCGCCTACCTACTTTTGTTTATACAGAATGTGCCTTTTTCAGGGCAATGGGGGGCGGGAGCAGGTAACAAAACGTGTAGCTCAGTGTGTGACGTAAACAGTGACGTGGGAGGGAAGCCGCGGCTAGTCAGTCCTTCGGCGATTCTCTGGTAAGTTGGCCCGTTCTTCACCGTCCCCATTATGTGACGGTTAAAAGCCTCTTCGTTTGCGAGGGCAAGGAGGGCGCGCAATTCCTTGTCTCCCCAGTTGCTCATCTTTACAGTGTCTGTCAGGTTTGCGTTTCCCTTTTGCTACTAGCTGCTCGCTAATTCCTGCTATCAGCTGTTTCCTATTTATCCGCCACCAGTGGGTCGCACGTGCGGCGTCATTAACAGCTCCTCCCACAAGTCATCAACAGCCCCTCCCATTGCAGAAGGCCGCCTCTGTCTTCCACCAATATGACTACCCTACCTCGGATCAGCTCTGTGTGTCTAAACGCTCGCAGTACAGGCCCAAAATCTGGCAGTGTAAAAGGGGCTAGTATGTCATGCACAACCATTTCGTCATAAAGAGGCAAACACTAGCTAAAAATGTAATTTCCTTTAATTCATTCTAAAAAGACCTTCATGGGGAACCTATATGTCGCCTTTTGCTCGCAAGAACTGTAAGTGTGTGACACTTCAAAAGCCCTGATTGGCAGCCAGTGTGAGGGATGATAACATTTAAAATGAGAAAGCCGTGAGTGGGACAACTGATTGCTTTATGTACGGGGCAAATTACAACAAAACACACAGCAAAGACGACCTACCGCTGAAAGAAAAGAGAAAGTAGACAGTACCATGAACGTGTTGCTACCTGTCATATTTTTTATTTTTATTGCCTGACGTTGTGATAAGAGTGATAACACACATCATAGAAGTTATTGTGCACAGATATAAACGCAGGTGTGCCTTGAGATTTTGGCTTGTCCTGTTTTGGCTTGAAAACCACTGATCTAGAGTGATAAATAGTGCTACAGGTAAGAGGAAAAAATATGTATTTTAGATTTGAGGGTGAACTGTCCCTTTAAACTACTCTTCTCCAATAAATCATACTTACTTATCTCTGTCCATTTTGCCTTTATCAGAGTGGTTTACAATTTCTTTACATACAATCCATCAATTCTCACAAGAGAAATGTATAAAATAAAACACTCTTACAGTAATTACAAACATGTGTATTATCTGTTACGGATATGTATTCAAAAATTACATCTAACGCCAAGAGTGCTAACAGATTTTATGCTCCCTGGGGCCAAAACTTAAATGAAACAAACCCTGTGGTTAGATGCAAATTTTTTTAAATCAAGTTCCTGAAATTAAAAGGTTTATCAGCGCCTGGAGGAAAGAGCAAAAACATATGCTATGACTGCTGTACAATCTGGCAGTAGGATGGGTGATTAAAACATAAATAGCCTCAATATTAATATTCATGTCTATTCTGCAGTGATGCAGAGTATATGCTGGACTTGTAGTGTTTTTAAAACACATGAGTGATCAAAACAAAGTCAGTAACACAAGCTGAGGATATTTTTGGTGATGATATATGTATATATATATATATATATATACATATATATACATATATGAAGTGTTGAATAATCCCCTGCAGGAGAAAGTAGCAGCTAAAAGAGACAGTGTTCTCAGGCCAGGGCGCCTGGTTTCAAACCATTATGAGGAAGTGACAATAACCAACCACAAACAAAGGCTTTCCCTGTGTAGGAGACGGAGCAGTGCACCAAAACAGCCATCAGCTATACTGTTAAAAGTTTAGCCTGTGAGTAGCTGGTTAGTTTGCAGCGGAGGCCCCATAACACAGGAAACAGCGCTACAACTAGGCGCGCCTCTAACAATTCCCAATCCACACACACACTCACTCACACTCACACACACACACACAGCACTCTTCCTCACAATAGACACATTCCTTGTTTTGCGTTTCATGCAAAACTAGCTGGCAAATCCCCGACACGTGAGATTTGCATTCACACAATTAAGGCAAATGTGACAGTAGAAGAAACAATCCCACACGAGGAAGCAAACAGCCGGTCGCTTTCTAATCACAATCCTTCCCAAACTTGTGCAATCTGAGAGCTAGTAGGACGAGCTAGCGATGGAGCATGCAAGTTTTCTTACGTACCAACACCATACTTTTCCTTCTTGGTGGGAACCCAGCGAGACATTGTCAGTGTCGAGGCGTCCCCGAGTTGTCGTGTATCCTGTTAGAAAAAGGTCCAGCTGTGACCTCTTGTTGGTAATGGAGACTTTTTTTCTCCTCAGTTTTCTCTGGGCTTTGGGGAGCCACTCCGAGCAGCCATTTTCCACCAGTGACAGGACGCTCCGCAAGGGGGAGGACGGGAACACAACTTTTTCAGCCTGTAGGCGTTCATACAGTGGGAGTCCTGCTCAAACTTCCACTGCTGCTTATACTGAGGCGGAAACTGCTGCATGACTGATGTACGGTGTTACATGAACCATGGGATGATTCTATATTCACCTGGAGGAACATATTATTACAAGTATAACATAAAGGGATGACAAATAAAACAATGGGTGAGCTACAGGACCTTCGTTTGGGTATTACATCCACTAATACCAGTGTACCCAACCTGAGGGTCGGGACCCCCAAAGGGGTCACAAGATAAATCTGAGGGTCGAAAAACTTTATTTATTTATATGTTTGTTTGTTTCTCTAATCTTTCTTTTTTTCATGTAAATTACTGGAAAATTATACCTGAGTACAACTTATTCAAATAAAAGTTGAAGACATTTTGGCTGACCCTAGCCTGGTCAAACCATCCCGATGAAGTTATGCTGCGTTCGTTTTGTACTCGGAGGTCGGAAATTCCCAGTTCCCAGTCGGAAGTTCAAACTCGAACGCACCCTGAGGTCGGATTTCCAACTCCAACCGCATCAACCCCAACTTACGAATTCATGATGGCTGCCGGTCACGTACGTAGTGAGTAAACACTCTGCTAAAGTACTGTTTATAGCAATTCTATCTTATTTGTTTTACATTAGGTCAGCCACACCCATAGTACTGTTCAATTTTTATCCATGGGCATGTTGCTATGCTGTCTGTATGTGCAAAATGCCACATAGAGCGTTGTTATCAACTGATACTGCTAACAGTGGCTATGGCTAGCCCAACGGTAAAACGGTAACGTCCATGTTTTTTCCGACTTGTCCACCGTTGTCAACTAGAATGCAAAAACTGTTGTCAACTCGGAGGTGACGTCATTCCCACTTCCGACTTCCGACCTCCGAGTACAAAACGAACGCAGCATTAGCCCCACATGCTGTTTAGCTAGAGGAAAAAGTATCCCCTGCAAGCAAAGCGCTGTGACAAGCGTGCTCTAGACCCTCTCTACACGCGCTTGATTCTCTCTACCCGCTCGGTTCTGCTCAACACTTGCACAACTTCAAAAGTAGCACGGGTCACAAGATAAACTTAACATTTTATTTATCTTTTTTTTTAAATTTTGTTTGGCTTTTCTTGTTCCTCTAATCTGATTTTTTTCCATGCAAATTACTGGAAAATTTTACCCGATACAACCTATTCAAATAAAAGTGGAGGAAAGTTTAGCTGACCCTGCCATAACCTAGCCTGGTAAAACCATCCCGATGAAGTTAGCTTCACATACTGTTTAACTCTCTGTGGGTCCGCATCATAGACAGTATATAAAGATGGACTCAACCCATGCGCACACACAACAGTTTCCGCAAGAAAAATATTCCCTGCAAGCACAGTGCTGTGACACCCGCGTGCTAGACCCTCTCTACTCGCACTTGATTCTCTCTACACGCGCACTCAACTCTCCCCATCCGCTCGGTTCTGCTTAACACTTGCACAATGTCAAAAGTAGCGCGGGTCATAAGATGGGGTCACCGTTTTATTTATCACCTTTTTGAATTTTGTTTTGTGTGTGTTCCTCAAACCTTTATTTCATGCAAATTACTGGAAAATTTTACCCGAGTACAACCTATTCAAATAAAAGTGGAGGAAAGTTTGGCTCACAAGATAAATCTGAGGGTCACTGTTTTATTTATAATTTTTTAAATTATTGTTTTGCTTTTCTTGTTCCTCTAATCTGATTTTTTTTTCATGTAAATTACTGGCAAATTGTAACAGAGTACAACCTATTCAAATAAAAGTGGAAGAAAGTTTGTCTGACCCTGCCATAACCTAACCTGGTAAAACCATCCCGATGAAATTAGTCTCATAGCCTCATCATAGACTGTATATAAAGATGGACGGATGATATGGATCTATGATAATAAATAAAAAGAAAAAAATAAGATACGCTAATACTACTAATAGTAATGGTAAACATATAAGGGCGTGACTTTGGTTTGAGAAGTGAGGAGGGTACAATAAAACAATATTTTAAAAGGTGGAAAATACACCTCAGTGCAGAGGTATGGAAACAGCATGTGGATAAATAAAAATGAATATAAAGTAAGGTGGTATTGAATGTAGTGTGTTATGTAGCCTACCATTTGTTATAATCTACATAAATTTGCTTATTTATTTAGTACCTGATTACACACGTTTCACCTTATTTTAATCCTGTCAGTGTTCCTGTAAATCGATGTGTTTCAGTGTTAACCCCATGGTAAAACACACAGAAATTGTTCCTCTGATTGGCTCAACCACAAAATTAGAATTCATGCGGTCTCTGTCCATTTTCTTCCTTCTTTCTGCTTAATGGTGAAGCTATAGGAGCCTCAGCGAGCCTGTTACTCTGAGCAGTGATGTGTTGAACTAATAAGAGTTGTTCCTCAGAGCTGCAGGTGCTCAATAAAAGACATCAGAGGGATGCACCTGATGCACGCATTCAAATCCACTCATCGCTATTCATCTTATCTGCACAAATATTGTAACCTACGACTGCATCCCATCTTTAAGAGTAGTCTTTCAAACTTATGACCCCATGCCCTCCCTCTCCACTTGTCATGTTGGAGTTTTGCCAGCAGAGGGCGGTGCTGCTTTCAAACTTCTTCTTTGAACCTTGCTCAAATCTGTCCTCCTTGCTCAATTGAGTTTTTGATTTGTTTTGATGTTATCTCCTGGGCAGAGCAGACAAAAAGATGCAAATTGCCTTACACTATTGCATATTCCTTCTGTGTGTAGCTCCTCAGCTTGATAAGGTGTCTTAAAGCAGGTCACAGCCACTGATATTTAAGTTATCTCTGTCTTATCTCTGCCTTTGAAAGACATGTGGAAAATGTTATACCACCGAGTGGGACTGAAGTTGCTTTGAAAGACATCTGGGGACTGTTAATCCGCTGAGAAACACTGAAATTCATTAAACATCCAAGCAACTGCCAATTCTTTTTTAGAGGCAGTTGTATCTTTGAAGATCTGTTTTTAACTGCCTCTAAACAAAATCTTAAGCAGAATCTCGCCTGCAGCTCGAGGCAAGTTTCCTCTGTCTTGTAAATACCCTTCACTCATGCATTGTAGGACATCATGTGGGTCACGGTTACTTACCAGAGAGGACACTGGCCCATTTTAAAGACGGTCTCGCAAACGTCACATGGCTCGGGTTAGAGGCTTGAGGATAGCAGCGCCTCATCATCAGCCACCAACCACGAGATCACAGGGACGAGCAGAAACAGGGGGAGTTCAACAAAGAGGATTTCTCAAGCAGCAAGTGACTCATGGAATAACATGGATAATCTGCTCATTAGCGATCCTTTATCATTTGTAAGGACGCCTGAATGTCAGAAAGTTTGATTCGCTCTTTTAAACATTGTGTCTCAGACTTGCACAAACCCAAAATTAGACAGTGTGATAATGAAAATACTGAATCTTAATGATGTTCTTGGTTTAAATGGAAATCTTGTTACATCATGCATTGCATCAACAAGTGTTTGTTTTTTCTTTCAGCCCGCCCACCCCTCTGTCTCTGTCCATCTCCCTCTCTCTATTGGATGTTCAGCTCTTGTACTCAGTAACTCTTTTGTTTGGCAGAGCATCCCTCACATTGCTACATGCCTTACTGGAGACAGTACCCACTAGCACCTAGTTTATATCAAGACAGAGAGTGTTTACTTCCTAAACACCAAGGACAGAGGAGTTGGAAGCAAGTGAAAAAGAATGGTTTGGTAAGTAATAGTATCAGCAGCACTGTGGAGTGGTGTAATGAAAGCATGAAATTGTTGTTTGTCTCATGATCTTGAATTATTTACACTGATTTCTCCTTGTTATCCTCGCTATTCTGATACCTTTTTATAACAGATCCCTAACAACGATGACCTCCAGCATTCTTGTGGCTACTAATTCCTTGCAGTACATTTCTGGCATGCCTCATGGTAAGAAGTCCAGTTGAGCCAGGGGAGTCTCATTAATACCTCCACTGTAAAGGGCCTTTATTGTGGGCTGAAACTCGAGAGCTGTGAGTGGTTACCTGAGCTCCAGAGGGATGACTCTCCGCAGGCCAGCTGCCCACCTACGAAGAGCTCCGAGCTGGAGGAGATCAGGAGATGAGTCCCACTGGGAGAGCTTGATACCAGAAGGGGAAGTTCTGACCCGTGTTTCTCGCCCCCCACGAGCACCTCGGCCCCAGAGTGCCATTGAAGGGCGCCAGCTGGACGGCTGGCTGGAGCACCTGCAGAGGATAGAGAGCGAACTTCTCAGAGCCCCAGTACATAATCAGGTTCCAGCTTTCAGTGATCGGACAACGTCCATGCCTGCTCTCCACAAAGAGCCAACTGGACGTGCCTGGAGACAGCCAGGGACTCCCTTCTTCAGCAGAGGTTCATCTTCATGTGGGAGTCCCAGCCTGTGTGAGAGTTCGCCAGGCAGCCAGGAGTCCCTCCATACTGGGTTTCTGTCTCCCCCAGAACGCAGGGGAAGCTGGGAGAGAGCTCACATGATGCAGGTCCCAAGGAAGGAGCAGGCTCAACTCAGTAATATTGCTCCAGTCAAAATTGGGTGGCTGCCGATCCAAAGGAGAGTGATGATAGTAGATGACCACTCTGCTAGTCAGGTAAAACACATTACACCTAACAAAGCATGAAGCATATATTTAGAAGGTTTTCAACAGTTTACACCAGCAATATGTTGTTACCATTGACAGAATAAAATAATGGACGTAGCCACCGTCACTTCTCTATTGGCTTTGTCAACTCGAGATTAGCATTTTGGCCGTCGCAATCTTGGATTTTTTTAGCCAAAAGTGACCATAGTAGAGATAACCCTAATGCTAACTGCTAGCTTAGTTAGCAGGGTACATTTACAGCTGTGGTTTAACAGTGATAATGCTAATGCTAATTTTCACCAGTGAAAACAGGCTTGGAACCATTAAAACAAAATGTAATGTATGTAATTTCCAGGGTCTGCAAGGGTTTTTTAGTACAACCAAACACTGAACAAGACTTTTTTAGACAACCAAAACATTACAGTTAAAAAAAACTGACAACATACTGAAATAGCGACAGCTATGGCTACGCCTATCTGCAAATCTGAAATCACGCCATGGTTATGTTACCTAACCAACTTTGTCACAGTGGTAGTGTCTTGTCAACAGACAGCACCCATCTGTCACTCAAAGTGGCCACAACCTTAATTATGCATAACTTTAAGCCTTCATTACATTGAAATGGGTGAATTATATAAAAATTCACCCCATGTACAGCTGTCACGACAGGGGAAATTAGCTATAGAGACCATAACTGGGTTTGTTTATGTTTTTGGTAGCAGGCTATGAGCATGTTCATATATGCTGTAAAGTATTTTTACATGGTTGTCTATGGGGATTGATTTGCTTTTGGAGCCAGCCTCAAGTAGTCATTCAAAGAACTGCAGTTTTTGGCTGAAGGTAAATTACAACACTACTATCTAGAGGTTGGGGGTTAAAATACAACACAACATGACAAACTGCCACAAATCTTTGCATGTAAATCATTAACAAAAAATTGATGCAGTGTTTTTGATTATTAATACAGTATCACAAACGTAACATTGCTATTTTGATATTTTCATACGCCCCTACTCACTACTCGAATGGGAGATTTATTTTGGAGTGTGAAGAATTCTTCTCTCAGAGAAGCCTCCCAGTATCACGTATGTGTCTGTGGTTTAGGGTATCAACCTGTTAAAGCAAGCCTTTGCAAAGACTCTGGACTGATTTACCCTGGATTTGGCGCTGACATCCTCTCAGGCTGTGTGACTCTGATTCTGACTTGTTAGTGAGACAGTGTAAGCTCCGCGAGTCTGAAGGTAAAGTGCTGTGTAATGGAGGTGATGGTGCGTGTAGTGCCAGGCAAGGCAGACTAAAACACACAGAGTGCCACAGAGAGCCATTTGTAGTCAAGTCTCTGTTACCCGGGGAGAAGGCAGAACTCCGGCATCCTTTGAAAACAGCTTACTCTGCAGGAACTCCACGCATTCTCGAAAGGTTTACGACTCATTTGGAGCTGTGGCAGCAGAGATTGAGCTTTGTGCCCTGAGAGGATGCAAGTCAATGTACAGAGAAAATTCAATGGGAGTATTACCCAGTGAACTGATAATGTGACTTCAAAATCAATAAGTTGCTGTGCTGAACCAGAGATTCAGCTGAATTGATGCACAAAGCACATCCCTTCCCTTGTGACTCTTCACTGAAAAAAAGAACATTATGTGAAGTCATTGTTGAGATTTTTTTGTATTTTATACAGTAACTTCTATTAAAAATTCTTTTAACTCATATTTATGAGCCCTAGTTCTAAAAGATGACTCTTAAAAGAATAATTTTTTGGGGGGAATACGCTTATCGCTTTCTTTGCTGAGCTTTACATGAGAAGATTGATGCCACTCTCAAGTGTGGGAGTGATATCGATCTTCTCATCTAACTCTAAGCAAGTACATGTTTCTCCCAAAGTATTAGACTATTATTGTAAATGTATCAGATGCTTCTACCAAAGAAAAATCCACTTTTTTAAGCCAGGTAAAATTGAAGCAAAGGTACCTTTTGTGTAAAATTACTTCTTTGTTACAGGTGAAACTGAAACAAGCCATCACTCCAACATTTCAGAAGAATCGAGCAACAGCCAACAGGCACCAGGGTGAGTACTGACGTGCAATTTGCTGTATCAGTGTACAATTACTTGTATAACTGCTGAGTTTTTACCTCACAAGTCCAACAAATGCACATTTATGCAAGAGTGATCATTATGTAAGAGTTGTACCTTAAAGCAAATGCGTAAAACCAAAATTAAAAACATGAGGCACAACAGAAGATTCCCCGAAACACACAAAGCTTCTGTTTCAATTGATGTTTAGTGCCTGATCAGTGCTAGGACAAATATAACCATGGGGTAACTGCAGGGGCCGGGTTAGCCAGAGGGAGAACAAAAGCTTATTTCAGGGCTGACTTGCCACACAGTTTACCTGCCTCTAATCAGCTCCTTGCAGCAGTGTTGCCCCTGCCCTCTTTCAAACGCTCCACACTGACAAAGTGTATGAACACTTTAAACAACCCCTGCAAAACAAAGTCAATTTCAAGTACAACTGGTCCCGACTGTTGTGCCACAGTATTCTGGCAGGATTGCAGGTAAAGGAAATAGACGTTATTAGGCTTGAAACGGGGACGAAAAGAGAAGGAGAGGGAGGCAGAATGATAAGGAAAGATGCAGACTGATTGGAAAAGGAGCCCTGTTAATCTTTGAACATGGCAGCCCCACACTCGCTGGGTTTGATCTGAGGTTTGATCTTTCAACCCTCTCCTTGTTTATACATAGATTATCCTGGCTAAGTTCGGGCGGCTTGCAGAAATCAAAGCAATCTGTCCACAGCAGCAGGGAATTTTGATAGAAAGGGCAGGTGTTTTAAAGAAACAGTTCACCCCAAAATAAAAAATACATATTTTTCCTCTTACCTGCAGTTTAGCTATAGAGATTACTTTGATGTGAGTTGCAGAGGGTTGGAGATATCGGCCGTAGAGATGTCTGCCCTCTCTCAAACATAATGGGACTAGATGGCACTCGGCTTATGGTGCATAAAGCGCCAAAAAATGCATTTGAAAAACTGCAACAGCAATGTCTCTTTCCAGAAATCATGACCTGGTTACTCAAGCAGGCTGTCCTCAGGAAGGCTGTGATCACATGACCAGTGCTCTGAAGGAAGTAGTATAAAAAGCAAAAGTCTGCATATGGAGGCAGGTTTGGGTGGTGCATGGGTCACAGGACTTTCCCCTTGGAGACCTTTGTTCAGTACAACATGGAACTAAGTGAACTTAGAGTAATTTTGAGGTACGTTGTCTCTGAGTTTCTTTTCCTAAACCTAACCTACACAACTTTACTTTAAGTACGTAACATGATGGGGCGTCGGTGGCTTAGTGGTAGAGCAGGCGCCCCATGTACAAGGCTGTTGCCGCAGCGGCCCGGATTCAACTCCAGCCTGTGGCCCTTTGCTGCATGTCCCTCCCTCTCTCTCTCCCCCTTTCACACTTCACTATCCTATCAATTAAAGGCAAAAAATGCCCATAAAAAATATCTTTAAAAAAAAAAAAGTATGTAACATGATAGCGCCATTCGAGGGACACTAATTCGTAAGATATTAATTGAACTGTGGCATACATTGGCTCAAGATAAGACTTTGTTGTGAGCAGTTTAATGTACAAACTATTTTCTTTCTATCAATCAACACACACCAACCGTATCACTACGCAGAAGGAGGTGTGTATCTACTGCTAGCTCACATAGCACTGAGCTAGCTAACGTTACAGCTCTGCTGAGGAGGACGCCATTAATGTTTACATCTCTGTCTATCACAGAATTTTAAAATTTTAATTAAGACTAGTGGTCTAGTCTAAAAAGAGGAAAACACTCAGAAAACAGTCAACATTTAGCACATTTTATTGTTAAGTATTTGAAACATTGTCCCAAAACATTAAGAGCCCTTTGAAGAGAGGGGTCATGTCTCTTATTTCCCATCGTGCTATTTTAAAATTCTATTCTACTCGAGCATTACCGTGGGGAAGGGGACTGCTGTTTGACGGCTCTGTAGCACCCACTAGTGGCGGATGGCTGCATGACAGTTAAGTGGCCTTGCACATGACCATAACCATAACCGACTAATATTGCTGGTGTCGACTAGCAAGGGGGTGGACCTTTAATCGTTTAATCGATGACTAATTGCATGCGTCTGCACTATTTGCTAGCAAAGGGCTTATGTTTGTGACAGTGGTGCTAAGTGAACTACACTTCCCTCTGTGCAGCGGTATGGTTGGCAGGTGTAGTTCAGCACAAAATGGTTCCTACAGAAAACTGCTCACAGCAAGGTCTGTGGATTATTGTTTTTGTTTTGGCGCTTTGAGCACCACAAGCTGAGTGCCATCTAGTTCCATTATATTCAAGAGAGGGCAGACATCTCAACAGATGATATTTCCAACACTCAGCAATTCACACCAAAACAATCTAGACTGATAAATAGCACTACAGGTAAGAGAAAAAATATGTGCTTTTGCTTTTGGGATGAACTGTGCCTTTAAGTGCCATAAACCTTATTTAAAAAAAAAAAAAAAAATTGATAGTTATAAGCAATATGCAAAAGAAAAGCTAGTGTTGGTATAATGACAAGTATAATCATGTCATGTTAGACTATGATAAATCTCCATATGGTCTATAATATCAGTTAAATATTCATATTTTCAGTTACTTCACAGAGAATTATAATTCCGTGCAGGTGCATGTACACAACAAATTGGCCACGGCTGAAATCCCAGCAATGAGTCGAAGACAGATGATCAACAAGAAACAAGAATCTCCATGCAGGACTGCTTCCCAATATGTCTTGTTTCGATGCTAGTCGCTTTCGCTCAGCCATCAGTACATTTAAATCCACAATTCCACACCCGCAACCAAATGAAACTATCAGAAATTCCAGCCGCAATTATTCCAACAAGAACTGACTCGGTTACACTCCAGCTAGCAAATTATCCCACCTCTTTCTCATTCTCTTTCTCCCTCTTTCTGGATGTTGCTGACAACCCTTGCCGAAGTAGTTTTAATCAGACTCTGGGTCTTATTGCAGACACTTAGTACCCTCTCCCTCCACAAAAATCACATTTAACAAACTTAAAATGGCCTGATGTTAATGAGCAAATGATAATAAAATTGGATTTTGTGCTCCAAGGGCCGTCGTGTTTAGACAGACTGGCCAATTTCCACCCTGCTCACACATACTATTTAGATAAAACTCACAAGGATGGGGAATAAATTGGGAGGGTGGGGACTTCAGAGGGCATTTGCCATATGGCCTTGCTTCTTTATTTTCCTGTGGGATATTAAGCTGCTGTTGATTCAGAAAAAATGGTCATTTGAGCTCAGCTGTGGAGGTAATGAGAGAGGCTCCTTCGGTGGGGGGGCACACGTTTGTGTGGGGCCCTTTATAACAGCAAGAAATGAGACATATAATGACGGCAGAAAGACCAGAACACCTCTAAAGACAATCCTTTGTTTTCCGAATGTAATCACATTTGCAAAGTGGTGCAATTGTCACCTTGTCTCTTGTTTTTTTTTCCCTTAAAATGAAAAACACCACAGATTATCCACACAGCATTCAAGGGTTATCCCAAAGAGAGAGCCAGTCGCCATGGTAACAGCAGCAGGTGGAAATGCAGCCAGGCAGGCAGTCAGGGTGGCAATAGAGTATCAGTCAGGGCTGAGAGGCAAGCCAGTCAAGTCTCTGTGTCTCCTGAGGAAGCAGAGAAGTGGCTCCAGGGTGGTGCTGGATTCACTTTACAGTGCCAACGTCAATTATTGACAGTGTCAACATTGCCACACAGTCAGAGGAGTTGTGTGTGTGTGTGTGTGTGTGTGTGTGTGTGTGTAAAAGAGGAAGAGAAAGGGGGGTGGGCAGCATGTCTTGTGAGGAATGTGACATGTGATCATTTGTTTTGCCTTCATACATAGATGGAGAGGTGGAGAGAAGCCACACCAGTCCAAGTGCTTTGGGTGTTAAGACATGGCAGATACCCGATCAAGGCTCTCCCAGTGTTAAACAGGTAACTGAGAACGCCTCTGGTATGATTACTTTTCATTTTTTTCACATTGAGTTGAGGAGACGATGGTTATCAGTGGGTCTGTGTATCATGGGGAGTACATAGTAAGTCTGCCTGGGTCCTGACATGACGTTAAAATCCAGTGTGTAGGATTTAGGGGGATAAACTGGCAGAAATTAGTATAATATAGTAAGTATGATTTCATTACTGTGTGTTTTTGTCACCGTAGAGTGAACTTTTTATATCTACATAGGGAGCTGGTCCGCGTCTACAGTTACGCCACGTTGCACTCCCATGTTTCTACAGTAGCCTAAAACAGACAAACCAAACACTGTGTTTTTGCATTCATTCAGTGTTTTTACTGGTTTTAATCACTGGGTCCATTTGTTTTAGAGAGGAGGAGACCTCTGCGGATATTTCGGCTCATGGTTAAAACTGCTAGAATGTATGGAACTTTAGGCCTTGTTTACACGGATACCGATACAAATAAAAACACGTTTTTATATATCCCGTATAAAAAAAAAATTCTGGGTTTACACGATCAGTTGTGAAAACGATATCCCTGCTGACATGAAAACGCTAAAACAGCAGTTTTTTACTGCAATTAGCATGCCAGGCCAGTAGGTGGCGATACGCCATATGTCAAACACCATAGAAAAACGTTAAGCGCATGCACAGTGATTTGTTTTCCTCTTGGCGCTAGTGATAAAAACAATGATAAACTACATTTTAACCTTATGTAGCATAGTTAGCTGCTATTCACTTACTAATATTGGGCACAGTAGACGCCTTTGTTCGCTGATGTAGCGGTGATGTTGATGCAGCAGTGCTAAATTCATTTGTAATCTCGTAAGTAGTCCCAAAAGTGCTAGCAATGGGCCTGCGCCTAATGGGCATGCGCGAACTGGGTTGCAACGTCATCGTTTTCCAAAATCTCCGTCTATCCTGTTTACACGTCTCCATAGAAACGGATATTTTTAAAAACTTTTTTTAAAATCTCAGTTTTTGTTGGGAAAAACACCGGTTACGTGTAAATGATAGGTGCAAACGCAAAGATAAATACCCGTTTTCAGAAATATACAGAACCATATCAACAGGCCCTTAGTTATCACAGAAAAAAAAGGTGACTACGAAGTGCCAAAAACTTAGGAGAAACAATGTTTTGTAAGGTGAAACTTCCTTATTCAGTGTTTTTACTGGTTTTAATCACGGGTCCATTTATTTTGTAGAGGAAGAGACTTCTGCGGTAAAAACCTCCTGAAGAATGAACACTGAAGGCATTCTAACCGTGAGAAGTTTCAGCTGGTTGCGATCTTACAGACTGTTCCTTTATGTCTTCTATTCCTATTGATATACTTGTGTTTTGCTTCCTGAAGTTTAGGGCCAGTGTCTCCAGTTTATAACAGTGATAAATGTAGTGATTCAGTGTTCACTGGGTGGGATACTAATAATAATAGACATGCCAAAGGCCTCATTTATCAACACTTTGTTTAAAAAGCTCGAAATTCACTCCTACTAAGAAGATATTTAAATGTTCTTACAAACAGAGGAAAGTTATTCATTTTCATTTTCATTTCGTTTTTTTTCCCACTTGCCTCCTACCCATTCTGACCCTTCATTTATGTGACAAGAAAGTCTCATTTACATGAAGAAATGCCATGAAACAATCCCTCATGTTCACAAGCCATTCCCTTAAAAGCTGAAGGAAACAACACTAATTAAGATAGAACAGTCCATGGGATCAGAGATTGAAAAAAAACTTTTGAGATTGTGGAATTAAAGTTTTAAAAAAACAAAATGAAAGACTGTGGAACTTAGAATAGAGACTCAACAAATAGGAGAAAAAAAATATATAGCAGGTCGAAGCTTCAGTGCCTCATCAGAGTAGTCACTGAAATGGGAAAAAAAAGGAGAGAAGTGACTTATGATCAACACAAAGGCAACTGGCTGATGGCAGACTCCTTTGCTTTATGGACCATTATCAGCACAGATGTCAGTGTCTGTCTGCTGCCTGTCTGCTGCAGCAATTATCCAGAACTATGCAAAATTAGACATTTGTACAGATGACAAACAATGTCTAAATGTTGCCTTATACAAGATTTAAGTGGTAAATAGTCTGCAGCCTAGATTACCACCGTCTAACTGTCATAATCTCAAGTTATTTAATGAGTGACTTTGTGTACATATGACTTTGATCTTAATATAAGAAATATATCAGTGTGGGGCATCTGTGGCTTAGTGGTAGAGCAGGCGCCCCATGTACAAGGCTGTTGCCACAGGGGCCCGGGTTCGAGTCCAGCCTGAGGCCCTTTGCTGCATGTCTCTCCCTCTCTCTCTCTCTCTCTCCCCCCTTCACACTTCACTATCCTATCAATTAAAGGCAAAACAATTTAAAAAAGAAAAGAAATATATCAGTATACATACAGTACATTTTATTTACTATTGTTCTGAACCACTGTTTTCTTCACATTTGGTAAATGGTGTTTTGTTGACAGTCACAAATGTTCTTGCAAAAGCAGGGCTGGTTGAAATGTCTCAAACATAAGCACAAATCTCAAATTCACATACTCTATTTTCCTCTGAGACGAATCAATAGATAGCCTCACTAAGGAGACTCAAGCTTAGCCATTGCTATTGAGATTCAGCAAATTTTAGGAAAAGGCGCAAGGCGGCAGATGTATGATGGACGCGGTTGATGAAATGTTAAAACTTTTTTTTTTTGTTATTCAGAGTGAAGGCTACACATTTGTACAATTGGAAAATGTAAGAATCAGGGGTACAACAATGATAAGTGAAAATTAAAATAATAACAATAAAAAAATAACTCATTCATTTACATATTTTGTCAAAGCCACAGGAAGCCACTGGAGAAAGGCTAAAGAGTCACATGTGGCTCCTGAGCTGCAGGTTGCCTACCCCTGGCACAGACTCTCATGTTAAAAAGCCTGAACTTACAGCAGAAATAAACAGGTTTACAGCCTGGTACAAAAAATGATTTGGGTCTCTTTAGCTAATTTCCCCGCTCATGACAACTGAACAGGGTGGAATTTTTCTAGAATTCACCAGTTTACATTTTATAGAGGCTTAAAGTTCCATGATACGACAATGCAATACGTTACCATTTTGGGTCCCACTACAATTCGGTTTTAATGTGTTATGCATCTCTATGTATTCATTAATCTTCAAACAAACTGCTTGTCTTTTTTCTTAGAAAGGCAAACTTCCATTTAGAGGAGTATACTGATTTTAACAAACAAAACATTAACTGGGAATAAGCCTACTCAAGTTCGAAAACACCACACAGGGGCCTCCAGTTGTTTTAGATTATTTTCATGGGCAGCATTTGTATCAGGGTGGCCGTGGCCCCTCCTGGCCACCCCTTGGCAACGCCACTGATCCTGTGGCCTAAGGACCAGAATCTTTGCTTTTTGCCTCTCAGTTTCAATTGAGGATAGAGTCTCATTGTGATTCTGTGAGGGATAAGTCACGCTGTGTGCTGGCTCTGCCTGCTGCTGCTTCCATTGCTACTGGGGCATTCACTGTGTCAAGCATGGGGAGAGTCATCTGACTAAAGAATAAACAGCAAAGCCCTGAAGAAAGACAAGACAGCTGACCCGCTGTTGAAATGTAGTATTAGAGAGATGTCATATTGTCAATATATCATGCTGTATTAAATGAGGTTATGCTCCATTTTCTGTATTTGCCTCTTGAACACGGAAGCTCAAATTGGCAAGTATGAAAAGTACAGCATATGTCTTATTGTGTTGATTAATGGAAAAAGATTTAGCAGGAGACAGTAGCAACAACAGAAGGGTGGGCTGGGTTTCCATGCATAATTAAGGATCTTTATCACATAGAATCTCTTTTATCCACATGCTGTAGGTGCCAGAAAAACGAAGCTTTCCTGCTAACGAAGGGGACAGACCTGTGGGCTGGCAAGCTCTGAGGCGAGTCTGGAATACCAACAGGGTGTCGGCTTTCCCTGGAGGCAGTCAGTCCAATGAGCTCCCCACAGGGACCAGCTTAGACCCCAACAGGAAGTCTTCTCCAATGAAAACAACCAACACGGACCCCCTCGAGCATACTCCTCTGCATCGAACAACTTTCGCTGAACCCTGCAAACCAAGCACTCTGCTTCAAGGGACAAACAGCACAGATACGTACAAGTCACATACGCCTCTGCGTAGGACAGGCAGTGTTCAGCCCTTGAGGGCAACAGCCCCGCTGTGTACAACAAACAGTAGTTCTCAGCCTTCGCACATACAGACAAACTCTGCTGTAACTACACTCATCCCTCAGAACAAAACCGGCTTCTCATCCATCACCATCTCCTCCAGGAAAGTGAGCAGATCGGCCAGTTTGCCCGGCTATGACACCTGCAACCCCTCCTCCCGCTCCAGTGAATCCCCTTCTCCGCCACTAGCCCATCAGTCCATGGACCCAAACTCCAGGCAGGTCACAGTGCAGAGGAAGGCCACTATAGTCAAAGTGACAGAGCAAAGGATGATGTCCAGCCCTGTTCCAAGCACAAAAACAAAGGGGACCCCACCAACTAGCCATGGTTTGGACACAGTGGTCCACAGAAGAAAGGCTACCATCATCAAAGTAACAGAGCATAGAGAGAGCTACAGTCCAGCAAAGGCTGGATCTGGGACGAGGCACCCAGAGTACAGACACAGCTACACAGAGGGACTGTACAAGGAAAACAGCATGTGGAGTCAGGGAAACCATTTGCAACACAAGGCAGCACCTTCATATCACCATCTGGATTCCTCAAACTCTGCTGTAACACCAAACAAATCCACCTCAGACCCAGAGAAAAACAGTGGAACACTACACAGATCCACACTGAGTCTTTTTGTGAGCAACCCCCCTGCCATAGCAGCACCAGTTCCCTCAGGGGTTTCACCAAAGGCTGTTGGACAGAGATCGGACAGGCCGCACAGACCGCTGAGCTGCTATGGCAATATGTTTGGACACACTGAGCCGAGCAAAGAGAATGTGACACAACCGGCTGCCAGGAAATGGAGCTTTGGGCTTCCACAAGAGACCAATATCAACCCTGTGAACTTCGACAGTAGTTTCATCAGCAGTCAAACAGCAGTGAAAGAAGCAGGTCAGCGAGCGGCAGACACCCTTAAGCCAAACGGAGGCCAGAAAGAGAGACTGCCACCAGAGATTGCGGTGAGGAGAGCGCCCCCCTGTCTAACTCTCATCAAGGCCCCGGGTAGGTTTCTCTGTCCCACTCTGACAGTCTTCTTGTCAGCACACAGGCTCCCTTTGTCTCTGATCTCCATTTTCAAAGGATGGCAATGTCTAAATATACACCTCCTCTGTGCCATTTGCGTGTTCTAGCTTGAAGTTATTACACACTCCACAGCGTTCTGGGGCCAAACTCTCAGGTTTGATATTGTCTTTCACCTTTGATGTCTTATTGATAGGCATTATTTGATTGTATTGAGATGATTCATTTATCTGCTGCTTCGAGTGCAATTGACAATCATACCAGATGTGTGCGCCGATGTCAAACACCATTGCCGAGACGCAGAGGCCCATTGGCACCTACAGATGCTTTCTCATTTTCACCTTCTTTCATTTTCCCACGCATCTCTTTGCATGTATAATCTATTCTAGTCCCCATTTTCACTGACAGCGCAGGGGAGGAAGAGAAATCACAAGCTGCTAAACATGGTGAAAATAAAGTATCAGGATGTGTTAGAATCAATTTTTGCATCCACATCCTACAATGTAGCGTGTCTTTGTAGTAATCATGTTGTGGGGACAAAATTCTGTTCAAACAGTCACAATGTGGGGACTCACTGGCCATCAGGGGGCTGAAATCCAGTCTCACAAAGCTACCCGCACTTTAAGATTAAGGCTTAGTTTCGTGGTTACATGTAGTATGGAAAGCGAGGTTAAGTGGAGCCTATTACACTATCAGGTTCATTCATGTATTTCGGGTTTCTACTTGAACATGATGACATACTTTAATGTTCAAAAAATACCTTTTCCTGCCTGTGCTGATACACCTGTATTCACCCTCTGTCTGAGAGGGCGGCATTTAGCGCCTTTAAGCCCCTTCCCAAAAAAGCCCAGTCTGCTTTGATTGGTTAGTGTTGGTGAAAAATCACTAATAAAAGCTTCTAAACACAACTAACATATTCCAGCAAGACTATGATCTGAAACTGGGTACAAATCAATATCAGCAACCAAGGCTACATGTTTCCCTGACGTTAGCATCTAGCTACATGTACATTAGCAGTGTACTTGCAGCCGGGGAATGACTGTAACAGAGAATAGCCGCAACTTATCCTGGTGAAAATCACCATTAATAGCTTCTAAATATAACTGGACATGTTTCAGAAGGAATATGCTCCGAAATTAGGGAGATATTAATAACCTTGGCAACCAAGATTACATGTTTTTCTGATATCAGCATGTAGCTACATGTACGTTAGCAGTGTACTTGCAGCTGGGGTATGACTGTAATGGCTAATAGCAGCAATGTCCACTGTTGCCAACCCCTCAGTAAGAAAAGTAGCTATTGGCTGTCCTCAAAGTCGCTAGAAGTCGCTAAATGACATCATCGCCTAATTTGCATAATTGTCCATATGCATGTAATTGTAATGGCTTCTGTAGGAGAGAGGAATAACGTGGTGATAGAGACAAAAACTGAGTAAAAAAACACCCTGAATATGTTTAGAAGTACAAATGAACCTTCTTTCAGTAATTTATATTAGACAAAGAAAATTTTACATTTGTCGCTAGTCGCTTTTTTGAAAAAGAGTCGCTAGAGGGGTCTGAAAAGTCACTAAATATAGCGACAAAGTCGCTAAGTTGGCAACGCTGGCAATGTCTCCTGGTGAAAATCACCATTAATAGCTTCTAAATACAACTAGATATGTTTAAGAAGGGATATGATCCAAAATTGAGAAATTAACATCATCTGCAACCAACATTACATGTTTGCCTGACGTTAGCAGTGTACTTGCAGCCAGGGAATGACTGTAATGGCTAATAGCAGCAATGCCTCCTGTTAAAAATCACCAATAATAGCTTCTAAATACAACTGGACATGTTCCAGAAGGACTATGATCTGAGTCTGGGGAGAAATTTTTTTTTTTTTTAAATTTAATTTAATTTTTAATTTAATATACTTTGTTAATCCCAGAGGGGAAATTCAATTTTTCGGTTCGGTTCCCTGCTCAAGGGCACCTCGGCAGTGCCCAGGAGGTGAACTGGCACCTCTCCAGCTACCAGTCCACGCTCCATATTTTGGTCCGGATGGGGACTTGAACAGGCGACCCTCCGGTTCCCAACCCAAGTCCCCATTGACTGACATGTACTGAGCTACTGCCGCCCCACATCAGCAACCAACATTTGTTTCCCTGATGTTAGCATGTAGCTACATGTAGCAGTGTAGGCAACATACTGTAAACACTTGCAGTAGCGTGCCTGGAGCAGATGACCATATAAAGAAACTCTATTGCTGATCTCAGCTTTCCTTAAAAGTAGAAAAACGTTAAGAACAAAGCATTCTGAAGTCTGAGGTTTTTTCCTCACAGGGATTACTTTGACAAAATTCTACCCTACTATCTGAAACTTTGCTCATGTTTAATATAAACATCTAACATTGCAATATTATCTATATGACAAAAAAATATGGAAAAGATAATAGGTCGTCTTGAAGGTTATGACTCAGTTCAACATTCTGTACCTCTCTCATATCTGTTGAGGTTACAGACAGGGGACAGTTGGCTTGTCTTAGCATTAAGACAGGAAAACTGATAGCCTGGCTCCGTCCAAAGCTAAAAAGAAAAAAATCGTCATCATCATAGTGTTTTTTTAGTCCTAAGTAAAATCTAAAATGAAAACATGACTGTGGTTTCACATGGGTTATGTGCTTGACTATTTCTTTGTGCCACTGCTGGTTGCAAACAACCTCAAGTTGATGATGAGACAATCAGACATGTTAACTGATGAGCTTTGGAGGTGCTAGGGGGCAGATTTTTCACCTTTGGATAAACCCAGGCCAGCTGTTTGCCCCTGCTGCCAGTCTGTATGCTGGACTGAGCTAATCATCTCCTGGCAGTAGCTTAATCTTTAATGGACAAATATAAGAGAGGTAACAATCTTCTCATCCAACTCTTGGCAAGAAAGTGAATAAATGTTTTCCCAAAATGTCAAACCATATTCGTTTAAGCCTCCAGGCAATGCAGAGCAGTTTCAAGTGTTCTGGTGAAAGTCCAAGTCTTATCACAAGTCTTTACAAGTAAATTGCACATCAAGATGTAAGTTCTTTCACTGCTTTAGCTAAATAATCAAATTTGTAAGATGAAGGGTCATATAAGGCCAAACTAATGCTATTTTGTTTATCTTTTTTTGCTCCACGATATTTTTGCTTTACAGTTCTGAAAGTGGTCAAAATCTTTACACCAAAAATGAATTTTGATTATGAAAAATGGCTGAAACCGTCAGCTTAAGCTATTGTTTGGGCATGCTGAATATTCAGTTGAATTAGTAATACGAGGAGGGAGTATTCTGCTGAGTATGTGTGTTTCCTCGTTCATGATGTCTTTTCTCCGTGTGAAATGATTAATTATTCCTTAATTACATTCATTAAGAGTGTCATCAATTAATTACAGAGGCCTGAGGCAACATAATTTAAATTCAACGTTTGATACAGTCAACCTCCAAATGAGGCAGGACATTATGAAATACTGTTAATATCTGCCTGTGGTGCACAGCAGCCAAAATGGCAGATCAACAACAGCCAGTCTCACTGTTTTACTTACTCTTCACTTACATCAAAGTCCTCTCGCCTTTCAGATCCCCACTCACATCAGTCTCAAGAGGAAGTGCTTGCTCTCAATGCAGCTGCCATCATAGCAAATATCAAACTCCAAAGACAACTCAGTAAGAAGAAAACACCAAATGGCAATTCTGAGGAGGACTCTGCTGCATCACCCCAGGGAAATACTGGTATTATTACTTCTCTCTTCCCTTCCTATGTAATCATAATTTCTTACCTTATAAAACATTGATCTTGTTTGCAATTACCTGAAAATACTGCAAGCTCAACACTTTGTTTACAGGGCAACATATTTGATTGAATCAGTACAGATCCAGTGAAATTCTTTGGTGCTGACATGCTGTGCCTATTTGATTCATACCAGGAAGTAATATGTCATGGCAGGCCCAGAGGCCTGTTGTGCCCAGGCATGTGAAGCCATGGAAAGTTTAAATGAGACGTAAACTATTTGATTTACTCTGCCTTGGTAGTGACAGATGGGGGGAAATGTGTGAAGCCACATCCTGATCAAAGAACAATCCAGCGTCACAACCAGTCTCATGCAGCATTTGTTCCTCTGAGCCTCGACCCTGAAAGGTCATCTCAAAGTATTTCTCTACAGGTGAGTTCAGAGGTATTTTTAGTCAATAACACAATCAAACAAAAGGTTTGGGTTTTAATGTACTTCTCCAAATGAGAATGTTAAGCACATAGATGCCATAGAAGATTGATGTGTCCTTTGAGAACAATGCGGTGTCTATTTGTAGTAGCTTATGTTAGTGTGTTGCAACCAGTATCACCGGCAACCCAGTTGCAAGAAAAAATGTTGGCACTGTTTGTTTCTACAAACCATGGATACGTTACATTTTCACATTATTGTTAAAAACTTTATGCCTCAACAATGCTGTGGTTAACATGTGGTTAGGTTTAGGCACAAAAAACACTTGGTTATGGTTAGTAAAAGATAATATTTTGGCTTGCAATACCAGGTTTTGAGAGCACTGGAACAATGGCTTTTTGTGCCATTATCACTACTGAAAAAAAGGAGTGCGTCAATACAAGACACCCATGTTGGTCCCTCAAAGGCCACTGAAAACACAGCAACAGGTCACCACAAAACACTTGCATTTGATGGCCAGAAAGCAGCTGGAAATCAGTGAAAGGTTGCTACAAAACAGCCACGTTTGGTGGCCAGAAAGCCGCTGAAAAATCAGTGACAGGTTGCTACAAAACACTTACATGTGGTGTCTAAAAAGCCACTGCAAAAACAGTGACAGGTTGCTACAAAACACCCACATTTGGTGCCTAAAAAGCCACTGGAAAATCAAAGGGTCACTACAAAACACTTACATTTGGTGTCTAAGAAGCCGTTGGAAAAACAGTGACAGGTTGCTACAAAACACCCTCATTTGGTGCCTAAAAAGCCACTGGAAAATCGAAGGGTCATTACAAAACACTTCCATTTGGTGGCTAAAAAGCTGCTGAATATCACCAACAGGTCGCTACAAAAAACCCATATTTGGTGCCTAAAAAGCAGCTGGTTAAACAGCGACATATTTGCTACAAAAAAGCTGCTAGAAAAACAACAATGACTTGCTAAATCACAAGCAGCTTTGTTTTTTGTTGATCTCGAACCATGGTCAGCAGTTGTCTGCAGCTTGGCAGGCATCTTGCTTAGGCAACACACATAGAAACATTTGTATGGTATGGATAAAATGTACAAATGTAACGTAACTCGTTGTGCAGAAACGTACAATGCCAACATTTTATTTTGGCGACTAGGCTGTAACCAGCCTATATGTGGAGAAAACATATATTTTTGGTAACAGAGTTTTTTTTTTAATCCCTATGTTGGCAGTTATCTGGCTCCTCAGTTTTATTTTAACCCACGTCAGGGATTTTGACCTCTAGGCTGGCAACCACTGAAGAACACTACAATGTCAGTGAAAGCCAATGACACATTTTTACTGGCTTTGGAGTTGTCCACGGGGTGCCCCAAAGCTATATTCTAGAGCGCGGGGAGTTGTAAATGGTTATTTGGGCTTAAGTGTTTTGTCAAGAAGAGCAATATGTTTCTGCTTTTGGCAGGACGCACTGCAGAGGTCCAGACCTGACTTCATCAGTCGTTCCCAGGGCAGACTGCGAGAGCTGGAGCGACGGGCGCAGGAGAGGAGGGAGCTGGCGGATTTGGTAGACCCACGGTCGGATGCTGCTCTCAGGCAGAGGAGAGCCCAAAGTGCCCGGTGTGCCTCTCTGAATGGTACTGTGCCAGCAGCCACCCTCACCTCTCTCATCCACTGTACTGCCCATTGTCCTACTGCAGCTGCAGTGGCTGTTTGCCACATCATAATCACACACATACAGACACAGAACAAAGAGCAAGGGAGGGTAGTTTTCAGCCAATACATGTTGTTTTTGAAGACCAATATTTTGGGATTTAAGCTGCTGATAGGTAACATTTTGCTCAACTACACGTAATATTCACATTTGTGTTTTGCTTAAAGGTGCTCACAATCCACAAAATCCTCTACTGAAACCCAAAATACTGAGTTATCAGTAGTTTCAGACAGGGTGATCCACTACAACGTCTCAATGACATGTAAACACTTCATTAAAATTCTGTACTGGTAGTCAGTACAGGAATTAATATTCACATACTGCATAGCTAAATGAATGAATAAAACATAAATAAAATGCACAAAGAAAATGATATGTTATATTCAGGAGGGATCACATAACAGGCCAGTATCTGAAATGTAATTAAAGGACATTTTCTGCCTGATGTAACATCTTAACTATTTTTAGGTCAGCTGTAAGGGAGAATAACCTGAAGGAGAGAACATGAGATAGAGAAGTGGCACACCAGGCTAAGCTGTGACTAAATACAATAAAAGGCACTTGAAGTAAGATATGAAACAAATGGCTGTATTGCATATATATTGTATATGCAAGTGCTCCTCTATTGAATAACAAGGTTTCAGAATGATTGCCAGCGCTGGATTTCAGCAAAAACTATTTCTGTGACCTTCAAATGTCATTAAGCTCTCGACGCAGTGTTCTGACTGATGAGATTTTCATTCGGAGTGCCAGGCTTCACAGTAAACAATAAAGAATTTAAAGATTTGTGGCAGTGATTTTGTAGCTCTCTCTGCCCTCTACTGGCTGTAACAAGAAAATACACCTGTGGGCCAATGACAGCTGGGAAAACCACATTTTTCATCAGTGTTCATGTAAAATGTTTGTGGGAACTTACAGTTCTTGCATGATGATGAAATCAGATTTCATAAAATGTCTTACAAAGCTAGTAGAAAAGTTGGAACTCATGCCCTTATTTAAAATAATCTTGTCTGCTCTTTCGGGAGATTGCAATATGATCCTTATTTTCTGTAAGAGAGCAGGTCTCATTCTCTTCAAACACCAGGGAAAGCTAGAGTGATTTACTGCCATGCTTTTGAGCCTTCAACTCAATCAGCATTGTGTGTGTGTGTGTGTGTGTGTGTGTGTGTGTGTGCGCGTACATGCTCGTGTTTCCAGATAACCTTTTCAAACCCAGAGATAGAGCCATTACTGGGAAAGAGATGCAGCTGAGATCTAAGCGGTGAGTTCCATCTCAATCTCTACCTCGGCACGCTGTCAGATGTTTCTTCTTTGCAGGCAGATGCATCCTTATCTCTTGCGTTGCTTTCACGTGTGAAGGCAGAGCTTGTATCAGTGACATCTCCATACAAAATATATCGCTTTTGTTCCTCTGCCAATGCTTTTGCTCTAATTATGTTTTCCCCCTACCTTGCCTCACACGTTTACTTTGCTTCCTGGCAGATCCACCTATTGATTAGGAGGAAATTTTAGGCTGAGGTGTTAACCTGTGGATTTATACAGGATAAAGAGTTAATAACATATAAGTTGTGGTGCATAGAAAGTGAATGACTGTATCCCACCCTTAGATAATTCATGAATTTAACAATACAAGTTTCTTATTAGAGGATTATATGCGACTGAATTCATGATAATCAATTTTTGATAGATAGATCAAAATAGATACATTATCATTTTTTTCTCTACTCAACTCTACTAACAATAATAAAAGATAGAAAACGATCATTGTGTTACAGTACGCTTGCAGAGGTGAAGAAGAATAAAGAGGAAGAGAAGAAGAGGGAGACGTGTTTGAGCAACAGGCAGCGAGTTGAACTTTTCAAAAAGGTAATCTCCACATGTCCTTTTCATAACACAGATAATAAACCTCACTAACCATGAGGTCAAACATCATTCAAACCCACAGCACTTTATTTTTTAAGTCTTGCACAGATGCCAAAGTTTTCTAAAAATGCCACCTCCGGTGAAATTTGGGGGATTTAAGTATAGAATGATGCAATAGACATCTATATACAGTGCATGATACTGACAGTGGTGGGGTCAAGTCACAAGTAAGGCAGAATTTATACTTCTGCGCTGTAGCCTGACGTCCACCTCCCCAGAAATGTAACTACACATTGCAGCGACGCAGACCTCCTGTCTATTTCTGTAAGCTGAAACCATTTCCCTCAGTGGAAACAAAGCTTTTATTTACTTTAATTTCACAGATAAGAAACAATAAATTGTGAAGACAATAAAGCCTCCACAAAAATAGCATTTTAAGTCTTGTGTGTGATTTATTCCTGGCTTCATATGAGCAGAGGAAATCTCCACTCATCGCTAGGCTAATTTACGCAATGTAAAATGTCATAGGCTTGTGCTAATGACGTTAGCATGTTGTATCTGTGGGGAAAATGTTTCCAGATAAAGACAAGTGTTTGTCTGTGAATGCTGCGAGTTATAGTGAAGCTGATTTGTGTACTTGTGTTTGAAATTGTCTCCATTAAGCCATGTTTAATGTGTGTTTAATGTGTGTTTTGAATCAACTAAACTTTACAGCACTTCTAAGTTACACCATTGCCAACTAGTGTTTTGGAGGTGTAACTGCAGAGTGACAGACACACCACCGCACAAGTATAAATGCTTACAATGGCGTAGGCGTCGGCCATACGCTATGGCATAGGGGTCTGTCGCACGAATATAAATCCCGCTTTTCTTTGTACTTGAATCCCAAGTCAAGTCTTAAGTTAAGACAAGCAAATCCCAGGTCCAGATTCACATGTCGAATTCCAAGTCCTAAACTTCGAGTTTTGAGTCCTGAACAAGTAATAAGGCACTCTTCACCAAATGTGATGCCATTTTAACAACAGAGTAAATTACAAAAAATCATGAATGCTTCTTAAAATTTTCATTTAGGGGTGCCCACTAGCTCAGTGGGTAGACACGCCATGTACAAAGGCAATGTCCTTACTGCAGCAGCCATTAGATTGATTCCAGTTCACATGCTGTCCCCCCTCCTTCTTCTCCACCACTGGAAACCATCCTGTAATTAAAGGCAAAAAAAGTCCCAAAAAATAATTCTTAAAATTTGCATTTATTTGTTTAAACAAATTTGTTGAAATTTATTGCATCTCTGCCTGTAATTAAACTTTTTTTTTGTTAACCACCTTAGTTTTTGTGTGCGAACCAAACTATCTTTGGTATCATGTTTTTCCAAACAGCTCTCAGTTATGTAACTTGAGTTCTTTACAGTTCTGTTCTGCGACTTGATTGGATGCTGTTGGTTCAAAGGAAGTGGATCCGGGGGATTAAGTATTGACTTGCTGGGAATAAATAGTGTTGATGTTAGATGAGACAGGAAATGGAGAAAAATGAATTGATTCATGGCGCACTTTCTTTGGGCAAGGTATCAAGTACTTTCATGTCAAATGGCTCAAGTCCAAGGGAAGTCACAAGTCCATGTCAAGTTCCGAGTCTTGTGTCTTCATGCGACTTGAGTCCACACCTCTAGATACTAACAGAGAGTGTATAATAAGATGATTTCCCTACCTTAATACATAAGGATGAAAAAACTGTATATTAAGAAGTAAAATATGAACTTAAATTAATGCAAACAGACCTATTCACATGTTCCAGTGGTCATCTCTTAATATTTCACCTGCCTGTTTTGATCTCTCTGAAGTTATTCCAAATAAATATATGATGCACTGAATCACCATATCCCTGAAAATATTAAAGTAAATCACCTCAAAACAGCTCGCCACAGTGTTAACAAGTACTTGAGACACTGAACAGAACATTAATTGTGTATATGACCCACAGGCAATTGAGCAAGTAATAACACACCTTCCCCCTACAAGCTCAATTAAACCCTGCAAAAGGTGAAACATTTTTCAGTAATGGCCAACAATGTCCTTTTCCTCTCTACACAGCAGTGCAGCTGTTGATAATAATGGCTTTAAATCGCCTACTGAGTCCATCATGATTAACTGAAAAGACTTTTAGTGGAGAACATGAGGTTGAGGGATATTTAAACAAAAACCCTAGAAACATAGACACAAGGGGGAGGTGGATGGGATGCACAGCGTATTCATGAGTATTTTTCTGTTGAGGCAGACAGGTTGGCCTTGTGGGCTGAATAACAAATTACAATAAATAATATACAACAGAGCCTGGTGTTTATTCTCTGACACACAGAGATTGATTGGGGTCTCTATCTCCTTTCATATAGTGCTCTGATAAAGCAATTTTGCGGTTATATTTGAAGTAGAAATTCATACTTTTATTGAGCGTCTGGTCACTGTCTCTCATTTTGTAATTAAATCTCCCCAGATCTGATCATGATAATTGTAGGGCTGCAGGAATATTGTATTTCTCTTTGGTCACTTTTGGTAACTTGTCACAGAGGTGACCATTTATTTATGTATTTATTTATTAACTTAAATACCAGCAAAGAAAGAGAGAAAAAAAGATTAGAAAAAGACAAAAATTAAAATGAAGTAAAATAAAAATAAAATAAAATAAAATAAAATAAAATAATCTTTGATTTTTTTCTACTGTTCTGATTGTATTAAATGTCTATTCAGTTTATTTTAAAAAGGAGCGTGTTAAATTGAATATTTAAGTTGGGATTTCTTTAGTTTCTTTGCTTTCAGGACAATGAGCTTATTATGCCACTAGAGGTCGTTGCTCCCAAACTTTTGCTATTTTCTTGCACTTCTCTGGGAGCTTCATTTGAAAAGCTTATCTTACAAAAATGTGTGCTTCAGATGCATTTTCTGCACGGATGTTATTGCTTTAATTCGAATACATGGTCAATAATAATCACCCAGAACAGAGTCAGATTTGTTGGAGGAATTGTAGTCACTCTCTTTCATGCTGCACTCTTCACCCTTTCTCTCATTATGGAGAGAAACTGTGAACCGTCTCATTGTGCCGAGTGTATGAGGCCCGTGTTCCCCCGTGAAACAAAAGGCCCTTCAGTGGCAGAGAGAGCTACAGTGCAGTGCCACCATTCAGCCAAAGCTGCAGGCAGCGTGGGTGCCCACACGCAGCTGCTCCGCCCACACCGCTGCTGTGGCAGATAACACAGGGAAGAGGGGCGATGCCAGAGATCAAGCAGGATCCTGAAAGAGGAGCTGGGAACCTGAACGTGTGGGTGAGAGGACTACAGGGACGAGGCTTCTCTCCTGTGAAGCTGCGCAGGACTGTTTGATTCCCGTCTGAAGCTGGAAGAAATAAGAGCCACGTGGGGTTCTTGTGAGGACTAGACTGGTGATCTATAGTCATCAAGTGTTTTAGTAATCTGAGTTTTTGTTTTCTCATTGCAGAAACTGTTGGATCAGCTTCTTCAAAGGAACAACAGTTGAATGACAGATGAAGACGATGACATGTCAAAGCCTGTAGCATTACCTAACAGACTGATGGTGTGAACTTTGCCCTTTGACAGTGCTGAATATTAGCGTAGGTCATGATAGAAGTGCAGCTGTCCTTTCGCCCCCATTTGTCTCTCTCATTTATCACAACCATTACTTATTGTTCGAGTTACAGAGGTTAACATCTGTTTTTTTCTCAAAGGCAAATTCATGGCAACCTTTCGAAAACCAAGACAGTCATTTAACATTACTTACTGTACCGCTGTTTTGAAGGTTTTTCCAGAACCTTCAAAGACTCTTCTGCCCATCTGGATAAAAAATATATACTGTATATTCTGATGCACAATAAAAACGAGATCATCTTGCAATGGGATCACTCCAGCTGCAACACAGCAGTCTGCTACTTAAAATAAATGTGGCCCAGGGGCGTAAAGTAGGGGGTAATGGCCCCTTCTCTACTTCTTACCTCCCTACTTCCGGCGCCCTTGCTAGCGTAACAGTACAATGTAATTCCACTCGCCATAGTTGCCATAAGTTGATGTCTGTGTGTAGATTTGTTGGCTCAAGGGCATCCTCTCTTAGATGTAGTAGATAAATGCCACTGGCAGTTTTGAAATGTTGCCAGTAAATGAGAGACAAGTACTGCACCACAAAACAGGAGGTTATTTTAGCACAGAGGCTAACTAGCTAGCTTAGAGAGTGCAGTTATTTGAACGTTTTAGCACTTTAAAAAGCACAGCAACCCACTCATAACTCTTCCTAATGACATTTCCATTAATCAAAGTGTACATAATTTTGATACAGTGGACCTGCCAATGGCATTTAAAATTGACACAGAAACATAGAATTATGGCAAGTACAGCAAGGATAGAGGTCCACCTTTGTTTGGATAAATGCACAGATTTTCAGTTTAGGACAGGTTAAATGTGCTAACAGTAGTGTGTCTTGTGCTGACTACAGAATTTATTTAATGCACTTGAGCAGAGGAGTCTTTAAGGATTCTGGAAATATCTTCAAGATGGCGTTAAGTGTTGTTAAATGACCTTCTGGGTTTTCTGAAAGACTGCCATAGATTTGTCTTTTGAGGGAAAAAACAGATGCTTATCTGTGTGATTCAGCTGTCCTCACTGCCCTTGCCGTGCGCAATTACAAATGAAGATGGCCAAAATGAATGTATGAAATCACGTCTCAACATTCTGTAACCGAATATGACATTGGGCCTTTTAAACACGCTGGCTTTTGATGTAAGATACAAACCAGTAATGTATGCTGTTTATCAGCGTTATCTTGTTTTCACTTGATTGCAAATTGCCTTTCTTTTCCAGAATACTTCATGTAATGGGATGCAGAGTGAGCTCTCAAAGCACTGATGTCCTCACACAGCCACTTTCACATGATCTCATGTGATGTGAAGCAGTGATATAAGACAGAATCATTCATTATGCTTCGCAGTCCCTTCCAGGACGGTCTTCAACCGTCATCCTCATTATACAACCAATAAGCAGAACGAAGCCTGAAGTGGGCTCTGCCATCGCTCAGTGCCAGCTATTAGCTGTAAGATGGAGGAATGTGACCTCTTCTCACTGGAAATGCCCTGTTAATGGACAGTGCCGATTTGAATGGAGCTTTTGTCCCCGTCTTTGTCTCATGATAGACTGGGGCCTGCAGTTGCAGATTTAGATTTGCGAGATCCAAAGTGAGTGTGCTCGCAGTGCTGGGCATAAATCAAAAGTGAGATGTGGTGAATGTTTATTTTTTGAAATAACAGGCAACAGAGCAGACGCTCTTCATTATTCTTAATTGTTGTTTTAATCATTAGCCTTTAAGTCGCAGTTCTTTCACAGTCCAGCTGTTTCATCCATCTAAATTTGCGCTGATGTCTGGGAGATGACAGATGATTGCTACTGACTGCTTTTGTAAACCTTATTTCATGTCAGTGCACATGCATGTGTGGGTGTATTTGGACGATAAGAGATCATTAATTAATAACATGGTTCATAATTGTTTCTGTCTTTCTAAATGAGAAGATAGACAACAAGATTGCTACTTGAAGAAGGTTATTTACTGCATTTGTTGTTTTCTCTGTTCAGCTTTACAAAGAAGGTTTCATTATGCAATGTCATTCCTTAAACTTCAACTTCAGGTATTTTATATTTAAATAAATTACATGTATTTCATATTTGAGTTGTGTTTAGGTATGTTGTTTAATATTGTTCCAAATGTGGCTACAAATGTGACTAAGACATGAGTGGATTACTGAATGGGCCCAAAGTGTCAGGCTTTCACCTGCAATATGTCAAATGTAACATTAAAACATACCAGCCAAAAAGACTTGAAATGAGCACAAAGACACACAGAACAAAAAAAAAACACAGAGATGCAAAGGAACTGCAAACAGACTGAAAATAACTACAAGCACAGGCAAAACAACACCACCGAGACACAAAATGACTACAAGGAGACATAAAACTACAAGTAGACACAAAAGGACTACAAAGCAAATCAAAATGACCAAAAAAGACACTCAATTACCTCATAGACATAAATACAACCACAAAGAGACACAAAATGACCACAAAGAGATGCAAAGGAACTGCAAAAAGCCAAAAAAATAGTCAAAAAAACCCAGCAAAATATCCACAAAGAGACACAAGACAACCACAAAGATATATAAAACTATAACAAGTAGACACAAAACGACTACAAAGCAAAACAAAATGACCAAAAGAAGATGCAAAATCACCTCAATAAGACACAAAATTACCTCAAAGAGACCCAAACGACTACAAAAAGACAAAAAAACGACTACAAACCAACATAAGGCCACAAAAATAACACAAAATTAACTCAAAGAGAACAAAATGACTACAAAAAAAAGTTAACACATACTGACCAAAAAGACCCAAAGACCACACAGAGACAGAAAAGGACTACAAAGAGACACAGAAAAAAACACAAGGAGGAACTGCAACGAGACTCAAAAAAACTACAAAACAACCACAAAAAGACACAAAACAAATACAAAGCACAACAAAATGACCAGTACAGACACAAATTCACCTCAGTAAGATACAAAACAAACTCTGAGACCCAAGCGACTACAAAAAGACATAAAAATGACTACAAAAAGAAACAAAACAACCACAAAGAGACATAAAATGAACTCAAAGAGAACAAAACGACATCAAAATGAGAGAAAAAAGGACTACAAAAACACACAAATGGACAAAAAAGACAAAAAAAATTACCACAAAGAGATGTAAAACAACCACTAAGAGACATAAAACTTTAACAAGTAGACAAAATGACTACAAACAAAACAAAACAACCAAAAGAAGATGCAAAATCACCTCGATAAGACAAAATCACCTCAAAGAGACCCCAACGACTACAAAGACATAAAAACGACTACAAAGTGACATGAAAACCACAAAACAAGAAAAAAAATAACTCAGAGATGACACAACTACAAAGAGACACAAAATGACCTCAAAGAGACACAAAACAACAACAAGGAGACACAAAATGACAAAAAAAATACACAAAATTACCTCAGTAAGACTCAAAATGATCTCAAAACCACAAATAGATGCAGATTGACTATGGTGGTGGGGCCCTTTGCATATCTATGCCCAGGGGCCCATAGTCTCATAATCAGCCCATGCTCTGAGCACTGGTGAAAAGTTGTGGGTTTTTGTTTTGTTTTTCCAAACTGCAGGTTAGATAGAATAATTCCCACGAAGCTGGGATTTATTATTGAGTATTATCTGTCCTGGCACACACACAGTAAGTTCTATTTTCCTGCCTGCTCCTCTCTGCACCTTATCTTCCTTCAAGCATCCTGGTTCTTAAAGAAGAGCAAAAGATCAGCTCTTTGTAACATCCTATAGCAGAATGTTGAGCTCCAGTGAAATCAGCATGCAGGGAAATACTCCTCTGTAGTCTTTTATTTCCATTCATATTTGATCCTGAAAGAACTTTTGAGAAATTGAGGTTTCTGAGCATCATGACACTCAGCTGCACCCTATAGTTCTTATTTCAAACGGTGTAAGGCAACAATTGGATGTGCTGCTGTGACTTCACCTTGGGTCTTCATGCATACTGCACCTGGAATGCTGTGCATCAATTTTCTCCTGTTGGGGGGAGAAAAGGCTCTCAGGGACACCTGCCTGCAGTCCCTCCTGAAGTGGATGGCCATGTGGTGCAGTGCGGAGTGCACTCACTGAAGAGCGTGTTGAGATGAGCCATAGTATTTGAAAGGGCCACATCCATATGTAGGTCCGTGTACAATAATCCTTCAGTGCATCTCAGTGTCTTGATGACAAGTTGAGTAGCTGCATGTAAATCTCATGAACAAATATATCAAAGGCAATCTATGCCATATTCAAATTCATGGTTGATACTTCAACTATCAAGATTTTTGAGTCCCTGATAGAGAAAATAAAAACAATTTATTATTGTCCTGCGTACTTGACACCAAAAGAAACATAAAAAAATTCAATGATAGGTTAAAACTGCCTTTTTTAAGTGTCTTTTTTTATATTTCCATTGTCCCTGAGCCAGATGTTGGACATTCAACCCTGCTTAATTTTGAATTTTAATATTAATCTAACATTCACTTTAAATCTATATGACACAGAAGTAACTATTTCTATGAAATGCATCATGTATTGTAAGATATATTAATATTTAACGTATTTATTTTTTTTCATAGAAAGAACACGTGTTCCTTGGCGTTACTGTCATTTCCATGACACGGGAGGCTACAAAATGTAAATTCAGGGAGTTTTTTCTTCGGAGTTTGTGTGCTTGATGACCACACCAATACTCGTGTAATAGGAGAGCACATGGCTGGAGGACAGTTAGCTCCATGGAAGTAACTAAAATAAAATCACATAAAAATATTTTATTAAAATAAAATAAAATTCAATTCAATTCAATTCAATTCAATTCAGTTAGATTAAATTGAAATGAATTGAACTGAATTGAATTGAATTAGATTGAATTGAATTGAATTGAATCGAATCAAATCAAATCAAATCAAATCAAATCAAATCAAATCAACTTAAATTAAATTAAATTAAATTAAATTAAATTAGATCAGATCAGATCAGGTTAGATCAGATCAGATTAGATCAGATTAGATTGAACTGAATTGAATTATTAAATTAAACAACAAGGCTTTTTTTTGTTAAATCAAGAATATGTTTATTGGCTGTAATATCTGAACAGCTCATATTTCCTTTTTGATGTACAAATAATCAGAAAACCAACATATTAAATTGTGTATTGTGTGTATATTTAATGCTAAATGGAAATTAAAAAACTAAGATATCATGAGATTTAAAAAGAAAAAGAAAAAAAAATTAGACAAAATGTCATTTCCACCACAATCATTTCCATCACTGTTGATGGAAAAGGCATATGGCAATGGAAACGAAAACATAATAATCTTTATTTAAAAAGTGCTTTTCAGAACAGAGTTACAAAGTGCTTTACATGGCAATAATTAAAACAGACAAGACATGAAAACAACAACTTTTAAAAGAACTGATAAAAACATGTCAGTGTATAAAAACAGAGGAAATAAAAGACGGTCTAAATGAATTTAAAACTCAAGTAAAATTTGGAAAGGCTCTCTGATAAAGTGGGTTTTAAGAAGGGACTTAAAAGAGATCACTGATTTGGCCGACCTGATTTCCTCAGGCAGACTGTTCCAGAACCTCGGGGCCCTGACAGTAAATGCTCTGTCCCCTGTAGTTTTCAGCTGGGCCTCTGGAACAGACAAAGACCTCAAAGTACGTCCTGGCGTGTATGTTGCTAAGATGTTGGACATATAGCTGGGAGAGAGAACATGAAGAGCCTTAAATGTAATCAGTAAAATCTACTCTAAAACTTACTGGGAACCAAAATGAGTGTTATTTACTGAAATATTATATCAGTACATTTCTCTGAAATGATTTTAGATTTTTTCCAGACCAATTTGGGCCATAATTGAAGAATGACCCTCATATTTCCATGGTCTAGGGTGGTCCAAAAATATTAATAAACATAAGCAGCTCTCTACAAAATCCAAAAACTAGAGACAGTGAAATGGGAAAGATGTTAACACCGGTGTTGAAAGTCAGGGCACTTTTTGGTGTCTGCTCTGCACACAGAGATCAGACTAGCCAGTTTTTGGTGCGGTACCAAAGCACTGCATGCATGGAGTCAACATTAAACAGGGATTTGCAAATGTGCATTGTCTTCCACACAATGCTGCTTTCAGCTCACTCTGACTAAATAACAACATGCATGCATAATAACATCTGTGAGTGAGGGCTGTGTGGGCTATATTATTCAAATTTACACTCAATGTGGGCAGCTACATTATGTGTGCGCCTGTGGAGTCCATGAGGTCAAGTTAAGCAACGGATTCCAAGAGAGAGGCTGGATGTTGAAGGGGTTTCCTTCAAAATAAAATGCTGGGTTCAAGCTAAGGGTCCTGCACCTTCTAGGCCACTTGAAGAACAATGGCATACTTTGAACCACCTTTGGACCAACCAGTTTTGACTTGACCCACCTACTGGATGTCAGGATGTCCACTATCAAGATCTGACAGTGCCTGTTTTGTCTGACATACAGTCCAAAACATAACCTACTGTGTTCAAATATTCAATTTGCAATGATATGAGACAAAAAGCAGAAAATCCTAAAGTTTAAGAAAATGGAACCAGCAAATACTTTGGCAATTTTGTTTTACCTTTGATGAAATGACACCTATTTGCGAAGTTTAGAATAAACTTTTATGCTTAATCTCAGAAAAATCAGGTGGTATTGTGTTTAGCTATGATGGATAGAAGGAGCGGACCAAAGGCAGAGGTTTTGTTTCAACATTTGGGGGAGACAAATATGAAATTTGGGGTTTCAGGTACTTCCCTCCAACATTATAAGCATCAGGTAGTTAACTTCCTGCGTTCTGATGATTTTTTTATGCATCAATTTTTTCAGTCTCTGCATCAGTTTAAAGTGAAAATCTCTTTAATGTTGTCTGTCTACTTTCATGTTTTCACTGCGGAGGATGAATGCACATGTTCCAGACACTGAGGAGGACGTGTCCCCTGCGTCCCCCTGAAATC